TTGGTGGAAAATATCTCGCTAAAAAGACGTTCTTCAATTGCTCCCACGTCGTAACGGAGTTGGATGGTAACGATTGTAACCATGTCCATGCTCTGTCTCTAAGAGAGAATGGGAAAAGACGAAGTCTTATCGCGTCTGGAGTTACTCCATTTGCTTTCACTGTGTCTGCGTATTGTACGAACTTCGTTAGATGTTCGTTCGGATCCTCAGTTGCGTTTCCTGAGAATTGGTTTTGTTGTACAGCCGACAACAATGATGGTTTCAGCTCAAAATCATTTCGGGTAATAGTTGGGGCAGCAATGCTACTTCTAGGCTCCATCTGGGATGGTGTAGCGTATGCCTTCAGCGGTTTGTTCGGAGGTCCTTCAGCCATCTCTGGTTCTTCTTCTTCTGATTTGGGAATGGGAGTGAGAGTTCCGGGAGTGTTATGTTTGAGTTGTTTGAGTTGGTACTCAATGATTCTACTTCTTAGGTGTAAGAAGCGTTCTAGTTCTGCGACTGAAGGTTTTACGATATCGCCTTGCGGGCGATTTCTTGGCATACAATCGACAGAACTAGTAAAGGAAAAATGAAAATTGTTAACCTAGTCTATACGGCATAACAGAAGGTTACACTATTGACTAAACGGGTCCCCGACAACGACGCCAAAAACTTGTTCGCGACTTTCTATGTCTAATACAACTAACTGCAAGTGCACAGTCTATCGCGTAGTAATAAAAGATATCGATCCCACAGGGACTCGTAATCAAACTAGTGTTCTCGGGAGTTACTATGTTTAGCTAGGTAGAATATGTTTTAAGGGAATAAGATTGTCACTAAAAGAGGGAACTAAGATTACTATTTAGATTTTAATTAATTGAATCGATACGTAGTAATTATGTTCTTCAGGGATTTGATAAATTACTGGTGTATGAAATAGTTTTCACAGTTTATTTAAGCAGAAAATGGAGATTCAAAGACTCTCGTCTCACGATGGTTGTTGACGCTAATCATAATCCTAAGGGCCAAACGTACACTTTCGTATCCCGTTCGGGGTTAAAATCATTTTTTGGAAATCTCTAAGTTCTAATTCATTTTAAAGTGCTTTCGCTGTTATTAAAATGAATGCCTAGTGTTTACTATCTGACCTTACCGCAGCTTTCGCTTGTTGGTTCGTATCTTAATTAATCTCCCACTTTCGTGGCAAAACTACTTTTAAATAAGTTCTCGCTTTCGCGACGAAGTTTATTTCGTGAATCAATTTTAAACACTTAGACCATAAATTACTTTTGTGAAAAGAAAGTTTTCAAACAAGAGTTATCAAATCCCATTCGAATTATTACTACATATCGATTACCTAAGTTTAGCTAGACATGGAATTGGGAAAAACAAAACATAAATAATAATAATAAATAATAAATTGCATTATAATAAAACAGAAGTCGATCAAAATGAAAACCTGTAAATATGCCAATTGGCCTTTGGGCAGATCCTCCACAGATGTTGGCAGGATTCTGGTCTTTAGTGCCAATTTGATCGTACAGTACAATAGGTATTACAGAAGAGCGGAAATGGAAATGAGGAAATGTAAAGGGAAATGAATACAAAATAAAACTGGAAAGTAAATTTGCTCTGGAAATTAAATTCGGCAGCACTTCGTGGTATGAATGCAGCACACTTTCTGAAGTCCTCTGCTTCCCTTTTTATAGAAGTGGAATCCCAACGGTTATCTATGAGGATGATGGACTTTGAGGCAGATAATTTAGGGAGTAGTGGTCCACTTAATGGGAATTGGAACTGCTCTTTTGACGTGAAATCTGAGTGAGGCGTTTTTGCCTGTATGACGGTCGTCACAAGGTGTGACGGTCGTCACCCGTGTGACGGTCGTCATGAAGCTGTGACGGTCGTCACATCAGCAAAAACTGATTGCTGCGTTTTTCATTGTGTTTTCACTCCTTTTTCGTCCATATTTCATCATGGATTGCTCCTTTTCTTCATGTTGCCTTGTTTAGACGTGATCGTTGAATACCTGCAAAAACATCAGACAAATACACGGAAATAACCCGAAATCGGATCGAAAACGGTTAGACTTTAGTTGAAATATGCATGAAAATATCTATATGATTTCGTGTTATCATTGGATCATGATTATTTGAGATTTGAAGAATTGGGAGGAAGTAGTGAAGAAAACCCGTCAAATCCTGAACTAAAAGAAATCCCATAACATCTGAAATATGTATTTCTAAGTCAATGAATTAAGCACCCTGCAATTATTAGTAGCACTTTGTCAAAAGTTGAAGAAGATAAGTTGTTACGAGTACTAAGGGAAAATAGAGAAGCATTGGGATGGAGAGTGTCAAACTTGAAGGGAATCATCCCATCATATTGTATACATAAAATCAAGCTTGAGGAGAAGTTCAAGCCATTGGTTCAACCTCAACAGCAATTAAATCCGCCAGTGAAAGAAGTGGTAAGAAAATAAGTCCTTAAATTATTGGAAGCAGGTATGATTTATCCTATATCTGATAGTTCGTGGGTAAGCTCAGTGCATGTAGTCCCGAAAAAAGGGGGCACAATTGTTATTCGTAACGATAAAAATGAACTAATCCCAACCCGTACTGTTACGGGATGGCAAATTTGTATTAATTTTCGCAGGTTAAATCTAGCCACACTGAAGGATAATTTTTGATCCATTTCCATTTATGGATCAGATTCTTGAAAAACTGGCTGGACAAGCCTACTACTGCTTTCTGGATGGATATTCGGGGTACAACCAAAACAGATGTAGATCCAGTAGACTAAGAAAAAACTGCATTCACATGCCCATTTAAAATTTTTGCATATTGACAAATGCCTTTTGAATTATGTAATGCGCCTGCAATGTTCCAAAGGTACGTACAAAAAAAATTGATGGTGATGATAGTGTTTAATTATATACTAAATACTAAATTTAATGAAATAAGGTTTAGTTTTAAAGAAATTTATGTGTATTGAAAAGATTCTTATGATTAAAAGATGTTTGATAACATTCTAAAATCTACTCTATCTGTTTTGTAATGAGAAACTCATTTGAAATAAAAAAGTCTTAAAATAAATAATCTAATTTAATATTTAATAAGGGACACTTAAGTAACAATATTATTTTTTATTTATTTATTTATTTTATTATGTGTGAAATGATCAATTAAATCGTTGAAAGAATAACAAATAAACTAATGATCCTCAATGTCTAGGCAATATCCAACAATTTGAAATGTTTCACACACTTTTAATCTTATTTAATCAATTTATAAACAAAATTTTTTTAACAAGTAAAATTTATATTTAAATAAATATAATTTTCACTTTTTAATATAAAAATAGTTACTATTTTTCAATTGTAGTCTTAAATTATTATTAATATCACATTAGTTAATAAAGATAATTTAATAAAAGTATAGTAATTTTTAAAAAATATCATTGCATTATTATAATGTGTAAAAACTTTAAAAAACAATTTTTAAAGAAAATTTTTTGATCTTTAAATTTAGCTATCAATATCCACAATAGAATTCTTGTGAAATGTATAAATTCAACCCTTTAAGAAATTATCTACCCCATTTGACTTACCAAATCAAACACAATAATAACAAGAAATCCATGTAGTAGTAAATCTGACACAACCTTGCTGGAATCTGCATCAACAACAAAAACGACAACTTACTACTCCTACTTACGTTGTCACACACTCTTTCCCATGTCATGTCTTTTATTTTTTCCAAACTCCTAAATTTCATGTCCTCCCATAAATACACAACGAGACACGTGCACCACATGTTCTTCCTCATCGCAATTCTCATTGGAGCAAAATAACTAAGCACGTGAACTTTGACTTATTCAAACATCACTCATAAATATATTAAAAATGAAAACACGAGTGACACGATGCAACCACATTACAGGACCACATAAATTTTTCATAATTATCCACTTTTGCACCCAAGTACTTCAACTATTCAATTTTGCAAAATGGGACTTGTATTTTTGTTTTATTTTATTTCTCGACTAATAGCTTCCTTTTTCAGTTTAGATACCTCAAACTCTTTCATGGTTCAGTGTAAGTGCCTACTTTCTTTTGTTTTTTTTCATAACCAAATTGTACTTTAGAATCTATTTACGGTTTTGTGAAGTTGATTAGATTGAGACCAAGAATCTAGTATGCAAAAGCTTGTCTGTCTCTTCTATTTCTTTTTTCCATTTTCAAACAAACAAATGAAACTTCAACATTTCCATTGTACAAGCAAAAAGAGGTATATTTAAAAGTATGTATCATAAAGCACTGGTTTAAACAATTATTCATATTCATTGCATTTGAGAAACACGTATGCACGAATTTGATTTTCATCGTTTATATATGAAATCGGACGGCCATGATCAACAATTGTAATGTGAGTCGAATAAACTTAAATCAACGACTAAGATCAATAAGAATTACATGACTAAAGTGAGAAACTTCACTTTCCTAATTGGAGGAAACTCTTTCTTTAGAGTAGCTTGTACAATTTATAAGAAACTTGCATTTCTAGTAGGAAATGATAAAAGATATTGTTATTACAACTCAGAAAATTCCTCTAAAAATAGAGAACATATTGTTATCCCTAAAAATGAACCAAATGACAAAAGAAGCAAAACAATTAACTAATAATTTGCTGTTATGCACAGAACTTGATGGAATACAAGAAAAAGAACATGATGAAGGACAAAAACTGCACTCCTATGAATCAAAAGTAGAATGCTTTAGATTGGTTAAAACTAAACAAAACAATGAAATTTGCAGGAATAATACTTATGATGATGATGATAAATAAAATGTGTATAATACTATAGACAAATATAAAATTTGCTATGCTACACGGTTAATAGGAGATATTGCCTATTATTCTACTTCACTAGATCACACTGCATTTTATATTTAGATTTATCCTCTTTTGTATGGGCAAAATGGTTCTTCTCTATGTATCATGAGTATGGATGGACTATGGCTATAAGGAGTTTGATTCTTTGGAAAATGCTGCGATTAACTTCTCCTTTGTAAGCTGCTCGGAGGTTTGGGACTTGATTATGAATGTGTGGAAGACAGTGTCGTTTGTGGCGTTGAGCTTTGACTCGAGGATAGTGATTTCGGTGTCTTTGAATGCTTGGATGAGTTTTGAAATAGGGTGAACATCAATAGGGAAACTCACCTTTACGATGACGCCTTCTTGTGTAGCTTGAATGTTGATTTCCGGAGTTTTGTTTTGATGATTTTCCGGTCTAGAGTTTGTTTGTAATGCCGATGATGATCCGTCTCTAGAAGTGGTTGCAAGTTGTTGTTCTCTTTCGGATTCCATTGACTTGAGTTTTGCTTGAAGTTCGTTGATGTAAGCGATAGCGTCTCCCAATAAAGATGCTTTGTCCATCTTGGAGATATTTGGGACAACAGCTCGTAAGGCGTAAAAACGCTGGTTTAGCTTCTCGCGTCTTTGTCTCTCTGCCTCCACATGATTAAGAGGTTCTACTCTTCCATGAGCTGGCTTTCTACCCCGCTTCCTCGGCCTCCTATCGTCGGAGGGACTCGGTGCATCATCCCTGCAAGAGGCCTCAACGTCAGAAATCTCCGATTCACCGACGATCGATCTCACAGAAGGTCTTGATGTGGCTCCGGAAAAATCAATCTGCATCTGTGCCTTCCGTTGCTGTTGGTAGTTGTTTAGCACAAAATCATGCCTCCCGCCTCCATTAGCAAGCTCAGGCGCATTACTCGCGGAAGGCCTAGGAGCAAAAACATCGGCAGGCACATGCTGCCTCACAACTTGACTACCTCCTCTCCAACCCGAACCATGAACACCGTTCGGAAAACTAATTCCATTCCCATTCGGACGGACTCCCCATGACGGCCTCTCATCCATTTTCCTAACAGCAAGTTTCTCCCGAAAATGTGTCGCCGAGTTCAAGTCCTGCCCGAAAATCTTCGGAACTCCAATCACCTCTACTCTACTATCATTATCATTCCGACGAAGATGAAGATTACCATTACTATTATTGTTCTTAATACTCTCGCCGACTTTCAAACAAGAAAAAGGGGCAATCTCATTCTCATTCTCATTCTCATTCACATTCTCCCCTCTTTTTCCATCCAATGACGAAATCGACTTAACCCTAGCAAGCGACGATTGTGTCGAAAACACAGATTTAACAGTCTGCAACAACTCAAAGCTTTCACCCACCATTCTAACAGAACCCAATTCAACAACACCTAAATCAGTAGGAACTAAAACAATAGTTTGAAATCCAACCGATTTCGCCAAGAAAGACCTAACACAATAATCAGAGCTACCAGATTTCAATGCATCACATAGCCACAAATGCTTCCCAGATGCAAAACACTTACCTGGTCCACCATCTCCATTAGCAAAAGAGAAATACATTGAAGCAAGAAAGAACATCTCGGTATCGGTGACTCGGTCCAATCCAAACGCATAATTGTCTTCATCTGAACCACCAAATGTTGTATGAAGCTTCTGCAACACCCTTTTCCTTAACCTCTGTTGCTTTTCATCTTCAATAGAATTCAAACTAACAACACTTTTCATTCCTAAATCCTTTTCTTCTTCTTCCTTTGGTTCCCTACAACACCCATCTCCCCAACCTAAAACCCAATCGCCATATTTTGACTGAGAAATTTGCCAGAAAATTGCGTAATTCCAACTGAAATTCAAAACGTTGGATCTCTCAACTAGATCAGAAAGCTTGTTTTGGAGATTCTCACCACTTCCAATAGCCATCAAAAGACTCTCATTAGAAACTGATTTTGTAACCAAGTAATCAAATGCTTTTACACCTAAAACTTCAACCACCATAGCTTTTTCATCTTCATTCCATAACCCATTTCCTCCTAAACCCACTTCAATCTTCATCTTCTAAACAAAACCCAGAAACCAAACTCCAAAAAAATCTCAACTTTCAACAAAAATAAAAATAATTAACCAAACCCAAAACTTCAAATTAAGCACTTTGCATCAAAACCACCAATCTCAGATCTCACAAAAAAAAAACCAATTTCAGGTTCTATAAATTGTGGAACCAGAAATAAGATTCATGAAAGACCAAATAGAAAACAAGACACCGTGATTGAGGCAACAACAATGGCAGAACAAACATCATACAGTTGAAACATGTTTCAAAACAAAGAAAAAAAGGTTCACTGTTTTTTTATGCAATGAAATGAAGGTGAGAATGAAAAAAGCTGAAACAATTTTGAGATGTTAGAGAGAGAAGAACGGCGTTAGGCTTTCTAACTCTGAAGTTCTAAACTGTAACCGCTGCAAAAGTGTAATCAAACGAACTAAGGTTTTTTTTTGTGTTAACTAAGGTTAATGTTTTTTTTATGACAAAAACCTAAGGTTAAAAGTTAACCATGGTTAACTTGTTGGAAGATGAGAGGTAGTCACATAATACCATTATGCTTTTGTTTGGTTGTTTAATTTGTTTGTTCCTATGATAATCTATCTACCAGTCTTCTACTACAAACCCTACAAAACACATATAAAATTATTGTACTATAAGCTAACAAATTTATAGATTATTATTGTATTATACTATTGAAATATGCTACACATGTGGAGTTTGAGAATTTTAAGAAATAAATTTCTAAGCTTATAGGTGTAAAAGTAATTCTTATCCTTTCCTTGGATTTTTAAATTTTAATCATTAAAAATGATACTATAATGATATAAGTAAACAATAAGCTAGTTAACCATGGTGTACTATAATAAAAGCAATCTTTTCCCTTTATATAGATTTTTTACAATAATTGATGAAAGAAAAATTACAAAATTTGACAAAAAATTATTTTAATGTAAAAATTTGAATATATTTTAAAAGATTCTTTAGAAAAACATAGTTTTGTATTCTTTTAAAATCATACAAAATATTTTGTATTTTTCTTTCTTTTGTTAAAAATGATTTTTTTTCTTCAAAAAACTAATTAAACTAGTTTTTATTTCAACATTAAAACAAAATTTTAAATTTCATACAAAAATATAAACAAATTTTAACTGTATTAGAAAAAAATCTATATTATTAAATTTTGAACGTGATCAGATTCAAATTTTAGATATCACTTTATCTACAAATAAAAAAAAAACTATTAAAAAAATATCATTTTTTTAATGAATTTTTTTAAAATCACACAAACATAACTAAAATATTAAAAAAAAAAGCTTTTGTTTTTAAAATTTCTCAAATAGTTTTAAACAGTAAATGTTAAAATCATTTTTTTCAAATATTTAACAAAATGGATTATTAGATTTATTTTAGTAGCATGTATAACAATTTTTTTTTCTAGTTGTATTATTGTCAAAATATCATGCATTTAAAAGTGAATAAGTTAGATATTGACTAAAAATTTAAAAAAAATAAAAAGTTAGATATTGACTCTGATTATTTTAGTTTTAAAAAATAATATTTTTTATAAAAATGATTTTAAAACTTGTTATAAATTAAAAAAAACTAGTTTTGACATCTTGTAATAAAAATGTACATTATAAAAAATTAAATCATAGTTGAAATCTCAATTTTCATAAAATATATATTAAAAATGATTATTATTAAAAGCTAAGTGATTTTTAATTTTAATATCTAAAATAAAATTACTCTAAAAAATGAAATATCTCAAATAATATTTTTATTTAAACAAATTTTTTATTTATATACTTTTTAATTTTATAATTTTTTTAAAGGAAAATATATAGTATCATAAAAATCACTTTTTAAAAAACTAAAACACACAAATTTATTGTTTGTTCAAAATCACATTTTATAATTAAATATTTCTATACAATTATCTATTAAATTAAATTAATAAAGATATTAAAAATAGTGCAGTATTATCCCATAGAATTATAATATTCAGATATAATAAATTAGTATTTTAAAAATAAAAATATAACATAAGGGGTATATGTCTCTGGTTGATTATGTTGTTTTTCTCATAAAGTTATTATATATTGTAAGTTGTATAAATTTATATGAGAAATTTAACTTGATCGATTAGATTCAAGTTGGTGAAATATAAAATGAAGAATTTTAGAGGAGCGTGTGTAAATAAAGAAAAGGAAATAGAGGGAGAAAAGACCAAAACAGTGGGCTATTTTTATTTACAGGTGGATAAGGAGAAAGCAAGGTTCAAGTTTAAGAAATGAATTAATGGTGCTCGTGCTGAATAGTGGAACCAATAGGTCACATGTGAGTGATAGTTATGAACCTTGATGTTTTGTGTGCGCATGTTAAAGATAGACTCGCTTGCTTCTCTCTTACCACAAATAGCGCATTCAGATTATCCCATTTTAATTAATGCTAGAGATCTAACATTTACTCACTGATGTCAATCTTATCTGATAAGTAATCTTTTTATATATTACTATATGAATGAAACTAAGGTATTTAAAGTATGGTATTTTTTTATAAAAAAAGTTAATGTATGGTATTAAAAAAATAAACTATAAAAAATATTTTAAAAATTATATTGTTAAAAAATAACATGAAGAAATTAATTTATTCAAATAGCAAATGTTTTGCTGTAGAATCAGAATTGGTTTTGATTGATGATGTATTGTTCTATTGTAGAACCAGAATTGATGACGTATAACTATGGGATCAGTGGAGCTGATCTTCGACATAGTGGCGTGAGATGGACCTGTAAGGTTAGCACTCCAACATACAAGTCATTTTAGAGTTTGAGATGAGTATAGTGAAAAATAGATATTAGAAATGTGTATCTTGAACCCCACGTATGCTGACTTTATATGTTTAATAATTTTGGTTGCACTTGCATCTGATTGGACCTTTGAATTAGGCCTTTGGCGGACTCAGAACAGTTACCCCCGAGGCTTGTCGGGCGTAAAATGATCGGGAAGTCTTTAAAGTTGTGGGCGGCATTTAGCGATGGCATTCAACCTTGAATAGAAGCAGAGAAGTCTTGGAGAGGCTACAAAAGTAGTGGGGATTCGGCGCATTAAAATGTATTCCCATCATTGAAATGTTTTGTCGTTTTTTTCCATATGCTTGGCTTTAGGTTACCAGTTTAAGGTGTTGCTTCCTCCTAGTGTGCTTGAGGGCACTTGAATTCATTTACATTTCCTAGATGAAATCGAGCAGTTGATCTATAACTTCTCGTTCTAGTTAATATGGTTTGTTGATTGCCATCTTCTATATATAAGGGTTTTTAAGCTCTAAAAGAATTGTTCGCTACCCTTAAGAATCAGTTTGCACTTGAGAGTGTCTTTCCTTCTTCTTCTCCAAGAGTATTTCTTAATATGCTTGTTATTCTTTGAACAAAGCTTCCCCTAGTCTATTTGGACTTCGCTTTCCCTTCTAGATTCTACTTTTCTCAGGTACCCCTAGTGTTGCGGTTAGAATATGATTTCAAATTATTAATTAATTTGAATCGCATCTTTAGTTCACAACCGCTCTTTGATTTATCCGAAGGAAAAGGTCAAAAGAGGAAAACCTAATTTTGCATCGTAAAGACAATGCAGGAAGAGATCTAGGTAAGGGGTTGGTTAAGCTTAGGGAAGGTACTAGCACCCTAAACTTCTGTAGTACTCTACAGGAACCTTTTGTTTATTGTATGCTTTTTTATTTTATTATTTGTTTGAAATATATTGCTAAGGGATAGAGTGACCTAAAGACCTAAGGGTTAGTCCTAAGTTTACTCGGCAAGACGTCGCGTCTTGTGCCTACGTATCCTGGATAGGGAATGGAATCAGAGTAATCGTAGTTCCCCTCGAAAGGGAGGTTAGAAACGTCTTGACTATGGTCAAGGTTTCAATGGGGAATAACCGTATCTTAAGGACACGCTTACGTGGAGTCTTTGAAACTCCTATTTCTATGTTGAATTTGTTAATTGAAAATTTAGGGTTGAAATTAGGGATTCCACGGCGGGAAACCCTAAAACAAAGTACGGCGACTCTTTGACCTAAAACTAGGGTAAAGGGTATTTTTGTCCACGGCGGGACGCCTAGGTTAATTAGGGTTTGAGACGGCTAAAACTAGGGTTATTGACTCGGCGGTCAAACAGCTAGACCTAATTCCTTCGGAGGGATTCTAACGGTAAAAACATGCAAAATACGACAAATTACTATTCAGCAGAATTAAAGTGCGGAAAAATAAAGAAAGCGGTAAAAAAAGCATCGCGACGATCACTCGCGTAAATTACAAATTCCCAAAAAATGCAAAATAAAATAACCGCGACCATGGCCTCGCGTAAATTACATCCATGGAACAAAAACGAACAAATGAAATAATAACGAGTTGAAACAAACAAATTAACGAGGGTTAGACAAAAATGAAACGGCTAAATCAAAACTTATTTCTTTTTGAGTTTTTATTGAGAAGAGGAGAGGAGAATTAATTTCATGCTTAAATGGAGAAACTATTCTAATTATTTACTAAAAATTTTAATAAAGAAACTGGTTTTAATTTTAATGAAAAAATGTCTTGAAAAAAAAATGTTTTAATGTTATCGAAAATAAATGTTTTAAATTTTAATTAAAAAAATGTTTTAAATTTTAATGAAAAAATTTGATTTAAATTCAACGAAAAAGGTTTTAATTTTTCTTTTAGTGAAAGAAAGGTCATTTTTTAATTTTTGTGTTAACTTAATGAAAAATGATTTTAATTGGAAAAAAGCTTTAATTAAGAAAAACTGTTTTATTTAGAAATATGTTTTTTTAAATAAAAAATGGTTTAATTTTTGAAAAAAACTTTTTAGAAAGATCTTAATTTTTAAAAAACTGATTACGTTATGTTTTTTTTTGTTGTTGAAATAGCTTACCTAAACTTAATTGCATTATTAATTACAAACTACATAGTTAATATAAACGAAAAAATAAACAATTGAATAATAAAATAAAAA